TATCAATTACTTACGTTCCAACAATTAAAAAAATATTTTTAACACAGATTTATCCACACATATTTGGTAATGAAAGATGACAACTTATTGCCGACTAAACAATGACTTTGAGGTCCTGTACCAGCAAACAGGTAAACGAAACGCGAATAAAGGAAGTGAATCGTGGTAATCAAGTCATTTCTGTCTTTGGAAACTCCGTGACTGTGTTTTACAAAGGTAACTCTACAAAGAGAATATTAAGGTCATAAATACACCTAAAACTGGTTGAGATTATTTTAAAAGCTTTTTTAGCTATTTCAAATAATTTCCTTGAATAGTAATAGTAAACATGACCAAGTTTCCTAGTCACTGATTTATTAGTTTCTTACCTGGAATGTTATACAGTTTCATCTGATCAGTCAATGAAAAACGGCATTTGCTTTCTCCTGCACTAGATATATTTAGACGTCCAGATCACATAGGGGCCCTGCGGTAGAGTGGTTAAGCGCTTGGCTTCCTAACATGGGGTCCTAGCGGGGGCGTAGCTAGGAATTTTCCATCGTTTGGGGGCCCGGGGGGGCTTGACTTCTTTGGGGCCTCCAAACGATACTTAATTTTTAATGTAAAAACACTCATTTTGGGGCCCACCTCAAATGGGGGCACGGGGGGGATTTTCATATTCTTCCCCCTCCTCCCCAACCCTAGCTACGCCACTGGGTCCTAGGCTCGAGTCTCGGTGAAGACTGGGATTTTGAATTTCGGGATTTTTAGGGCGCCCCCTGAGTAAGTCAATGCCGACTCTTAATGGGTACCGGGCTTAACTTAGGGAAAGTTAAGTCGTTTGGTCGTTGTGCTGGCCACACGACACCCTGCTCGTTGACCGTTGGCCAAAGAAACAAATGGCCTTAACAATGAACATCATTTGCCCTAGAGATCGCAAGGCTTCAAAAGAGAACAAAGATCCCATAGGCAAGCTAGACCCTAAGAGACTCCTATAGAGTTTCACATTGAAAAACGCAACAAATATTCGTGGCCCTCTGTTATTTTATGTGTGTGTGTGTGTGGTGTTTCTATGGTGACGGTGGGAAAGAGGTTAGCGATTGGTTCTGAATAAAAGATAGGTGGCGTTGTCTTCAGCGGTCCTAGTTAAGACAGACGACTCAAGAACGCCAGACTAAAAAAAGACGTGTTATTGTAGTGAGTTGGGCTTTGTCCAGAACACCATTTTACATTATGACTTAATTCTACTCTCTTTATTGCATTTCATTACAATTTATTATAATAAAAGTTACATTTAGTTGTGTCCACAAGGAAGTTATTCCAAGCTTTATTGGATAAGATATATTACACCAACAACGGTTTAGTTGTCTACCAGCAGTTTGGTGCAACAAGTCAACGACCGTCCACGACACCTTCATACGACACTCCGCCCAGGGCCCCGCGCACTACTAATGCCTCTTTTCAGCTCTTTATCTCCTTTTTTCGACACGCATTGCACCGTCATTAAGCAAATCAAGTTAAAAATACATTTTATTAAGGAAGGTAATAAAAAGAAAAAAATCAGAAAGAAAACAAAAAAAACAACTTAGAATGGGCTTCTCTGTTTGGCTTTGCCATTTGATTGTCATTCATCCCACAAATGTACTTCCTTTGAGACAATGTCAAAATGTCCTCTTTTGTTGTTACTTTTGTTGTGTCTTTTGTTACAATTGTATGCACTAGGACTAAACACAATATAAACATGATAACAGAGAGGTTTCCATTCGCTAGTTTAATGATTCACTTGTACAATCTATAGGCGTAGTTTAACAATCTTTTATTCGCGACTCAAACCAAGAATGTCGCCATATTTATTTTATAATGCCGTTTTTATGTTGCCGTTTTATTAAACAGCAACACTTTCTTTATGTTTGCTTATTATCATGTTCAACAAAAAAAGGTAAAGATAGGTTCACTTTCATGGTAGATTCTACATTCAGAGTTCCGATTCATAAGCACACAAATGTTAAAGATCATGATACCAATCATCGGAGAAAAAATGAGGGCCCAAACGTAAGTAAAGATACATTTCTTTCAACAATTTTTTGTTTGGAAAGGAGATTTCTACACTTTGTTTCGACGTTTCGGTGGGCCGGATGGAATTTTCGTTTCCACTACAAAAACAGACGTATATACAAATTAGTGATGCCCTTAATACGACCCGAGGGCCAGATCCTGACCGCAACGTAGTACTATAAAAAAAATATAAATAAAAAGGAAAATCCCCCGCATTACTTAAGAGTAATTACTCTTATTTTGATGGATTATTGCCTAGATCTATTCATATTACTTTTACTTTCTTGTAAAAAAAACAACAAAAAAAAAACATGGATTATCTTTTCGGAGTGGAGTCGCTAGTTATTTTTAGTTCAGAAATTTTTCGCTGTTTTGAGCTGGCCGTTTCCAGAACATTATATATGCATCTAACGATTGAAGGATTAATGGATGTAAATTTCACTGAAAAGAAGAATGCAGTTGAAGCCGTCAGCCTTTCTCACATGACAATGGAAAACAAGGTTATAAAGACAGTTTGTGTGGAAACACAAACTCAAAATCGGTCCCCGAAGTGGTCCACCCATGCAGGTAAAAAGGCAGGTTTCAATTTTTTTCAGAAAGAACATCAGAATGAAATTCTATCAAAAACAAATGACAGAGAAGAATAGAGAAAGAAGGTTGACAGATCTTGTGTGGTGCCCCAGCGGTCCAGCAGACCAAAGGATAGGTGTAAGTGAATGTGAAATTGGATGTGAACCTGGCCTAACTGTTGTCTTATAATGAATATCTAATTGATCTAATTGTTTTGTAAAGGGTCAATCTCTTATTCAAATCCTCAAGAAAAAAACACTTATGTAAAAAAAAATATAAAAAATCCTTTAGTTAATTGTTTTTATGGGTTGTGCTCAGTGCTGCAGTTCACGCGATAATATGAAAAACAACTTACTAATTTTTTTTTTTTAATTATGTTCAACTTATATGCGTACTAAATAGATTTTTTCTCTTAAAAAAAAAGTAAACATATTTTGTGTGTAAATGTAGTAGTTAGTATGACAACTTATTTAACTTAGCAATACGAATGTAAAAAAAATTTTTTGACAAAAAATCTAAAACCATTTGCATAAATATGTTTGAAAATATACTACATGGTGTTCCTACCTACTTAAGAGCCTCCCGGGTTTGTTACTATTAATAGTGAATAGTTGTAAAAGTGGTGTATTTTATGAAAAAAATTGCTTGCATAAAAGATTAAAAAAATTAGATTTTTCGCTTTCAGAAAAGAAAAAAGTAGCCGTTGCATCAGAGCTTTAAATGGTCTAAAATATTATGAAGTCGGATTAAAACTATCTTTTTTTAGTTTACGAGATCTCAACGAGACGGACGGACAAACATTCCACACAAAACTAATATCGTCTTTTACCCTTTTGGGGGCCGCTAAGAAAAGAATGATCCAACTTCAGATCCAACTTTAACAATATTTGCAGTGAACGTTTGGCGGATTCGCAAGATTTGAAGATTGTAGTAGGTCTTTTGAAAATCCATTGTGGCAAGTGCTTTGTGTTAGGCGCTTCCGCAGTGTCTAATGCAGATAAACCAAATGGAGGTAACACTCATCGAAATCTAATAACACCGGTGAAAGGCCGAACAATCAATATAAACAACTGAACGCTGATACTGAACAAGAAGTTTAATAGCAATGAAAGGAATGAATGAAAGAAAAAGGAATGCCAGCTTTCTACGTTCATAAAAAGCTTCCTTTTTGTGTGAATTTATTCGTTGGTATGGCCCTCAACAGAGGCACATTCCTTGTTCAATATGTTAGGACAAATTTGTATAAAATGCTCCTTCTGAGCTAGTACTATTATAGCATGGAATGGGTTGCATGAGCTATCCAGGAAAACCTCTGACTTGGAAGAACTTAATTTATTGATTAACATGCACGACTAGATTGACATAAGAACACGCGTAGGACGTAATTATCCTCTTTTCTGAAGTAACGTCCGTATTTGATAAGATATGATAAGACACGAGAGTCGGAAATGAAAATGGTCCTCAGGCCGACTAAGGTTGGGCATCAGTGATGTACATGTAAGCAATTTGTGGTTGATCCCTTCAAAAAGTACAGACAGATAGCATAAAATGCTTCACATATAAAAAAAAATAAAAAAATAAAAACAATACACTTTCAATTTGTTCTATGGAAGTTTTTATTAAAAACATTTAAGCTTATGGTGAACAAGATTCATAAACATATTCTACTTTCTACCATTTTGATATATTTACACTTTGGAAATGAATACATTCATAAATAATATACACATTACCTTCCACTTTTAATGTAACATTCAAAGTGATTCAGACGTACTTTCTCTCTTCTCATACATAAGAAAGATGTATACATGTATGTTTCCTTAAACCCAGCCTTTTTTTCCTTAAACCCAGCCTTTGTTTCTTTAAGCCCAGCCTTTCTTTCCTTAAACCCAGCCTTTGTTTCTTTAAGCCCAGCCTTTCTTTCCTTAAACCCAGCCTTTGCTAACACGAAAATATTATTTTTTTTTGTGATTTTTTTTTCTTTAAAAAATATCTCCAGATTCTGACGTATGTGATCATTTCCTGTTCACACTAAGCATAAAAAGGTTCTCCCAGCTTGGGGATATTACCTAGATTCAAGGGATATATATATATACATTTTTTTTTCGAAAACGACTCTAAAGATTTTCTTAAAAATTTGAGCATTTTATAAGTAGGCAGTCTATATAAATGAGAGAAAAAAATTCTCGACTCTTTGGCCACATTGCGAAAGCTCATTGTCGACCGTTATATTGGTTTAACCCTTAAAGTGCTGAGCCGTTTTACAGTGAGTGCATAACCAAATGGAATTACAATTCTGATGTTTAGAGGCTAAACTGCCACCCGCGTTTTAAGGGTTAAACATGTTTCATTGTTGTATTATCAATGTTAACTAGACATCTTTTAATGAATGGAAAGGTTTCGAAGGACGTCAAAACATAACAAAAACTGCCCCATTACGTCACTGGCTTACTGCAGTACACTAAAACATGTCTTGGTAAACACTAACACGTTTTCTTGAATCCACTTGGCCTATAATTAAACATTTGCGCACCATCTTATTGTATACTCTATCAGCCTTTTCACCAAAGTGGAAGCCATCTTCTCTGCAATTTAAGTGTTAACCATTTAAAAATTATGCAAAATAGAAAAACCATTAATAAATCAGTTTACATAAGTGTTTGTATGAGTGGTACTTCTTTAATGAAAAGAACAAAGGTCAATATGGATATATTTCCTAGAGCGAAAATAAAGGAAAGGTTGAAAAACATATATATTAGTAGATTTTGGAACAGAAATCGGAATCCATTTTTTTGGGCATCGCCAAAGTACAAATTAAAAGTGACTAATATTAATGAATTGCACTTTAATACCAGTACTTAAATCGTGAATACCCATTTTATAACGCAACTTTCATGCTTATCACTTGTCCAGAGAGTTATGGTCAAGTACACTTCTATATCCCAATGTAAGGAAACGTAATTTCTATTTAAATCCTCATGTGACATTTAGAACAGAACATAAAGGTAACTCTCCCAATTGGTAGTCGTTTCCCGATCGCTCAATCATTTTCGTCATTACTAAGGTGTTTCCAAATAGAGTTCGGATGAATATCTTTCTCAAATCATTCGACCGAGCAAGGCTCAGTCACCTGGTACTATGTATAAGTCAAGTAAAATATTGTTTCCAAAATAATCACAGAAATGGGAGATCCAAAAGCGCGTGGTGATGTAGACATTGCGAGAATACCAAAGTCATACAACATGCGCTATCTACAACAGACTATTCTGTCTGAGCAAATAACGGCTGTAGCAGACATGTAATTAAGGAACAACTATAACTGTAATCACATTAGTAGTGTGTATTTATAATTGTAGTTTGTCATAATTTAATATCTTTATAAATGAACCAAAATAAAGTGAATGAGCATGAAACTATTTCTGGTATATGAATACGGCTTTAATAGCTGTATATCTCTCGTTGATTACTCTTAACATAATGCATACATCTATATGTGGGTAATCATTTAGGTAAAACAAAATTTGCTCAGATGGGAACGGGAATTTTTTTTTCCCCACTTAGCCCAGGAATATTTTTATTGCAAATTTATCCCCTTTATCCACCTTATAACACATAATGTCGAGAAAATCATATTCATAACTATTCGGACCATTTGATAAACTGAAAAAGCTAGAAGATATACAGTTAAAAAGTACATCTTTTGTATATTATAACAAAATCCTCGCTGAATAGATTATCCAGCTAATAGAAAATATGATATGTAAAAATTAAATGAGTGCACATTGTGTAAAGGGTTATTTTTCTCATTCAATTTAACTTTAGAAACGTCAAAGTTAATATGTCTTTCTATAGTCTTTCATTGCACTTAAAGAGTTAAAATACATCTATGTATAGAATGAACCCCATAAACACACTGATAATGGAGGCCTGAAGGAAGATGATACAATATGCTAATATCTTCATGGGATCTCCAGTAGTCGAGTCGTCTGAATCGCTGTTGGGCACAGATGGGCTCTCTTCTGAAGTCCTACAATAGTCAACAAACCTGTCTTCACTTCTCTGGCACTGACCAACGTCCAGGAAAAAGGAATTCCTATCTAACAGTGAGGTCCAGACATATATGCACTGGTGCGAACAGTTGCTGTTGAGTTCCTGTATGGAACAGTTTGTGACAATGCCGAACGTAGTATTGTCCACGCGAATGACGTTGCACTTAACGGCAATGGGGCTCGAGTGGAACTGACAACTGTAAGTTTTGGACACGCTAGAGTTATCCTCCTTGTTTAGGTTACCGCTCGTTGTGCTGATGAGGGTTTCGCTCCGATTTAACTTCCAATATAGGTCACCAGGGTCATCACAAAACTTACTGAAAAATCTGCAAAGACATTGCACAATATTAACACTGACTGAAATACATTAATTACGCTGCCATAATCAAATAATAATATTGCTTACACATTATGAATTTTACGTTCTTAGCTGATATATTTCTTTTTTTCTAAGTGAGGAATTTCTAAATTTCTGATTTCCAATTGCAGTTTAATGTTGAAAAGATGTTTAATATGGTTAGTCAAACTATAGAATAAATGTATACCATATATTGAATACTTAAATAGAAAAAATCATTCACCAAGAATGGAGCTCTGGGAGCGACGACATTAAACATATTAGACTAATTAGAGGATAGACATTCTAGACAGATTTAGATCAAAGCATAGTTGAGTTTTATCATTGTAAAAATAGTGAATTTATAATTATTACAAATTGATTACTATATAGAATTGTGCAAGAATCTGTGTTCATTACTTTTGGCCCCAAAAAAAAAAAAAAAAGTCAAAATAATATTTAAATATAATATTGTGTTGGGGGCGCCGTGGCTGAATCTGGGGTTCTGGGTTCGAATAAGTGAAGACTTGAATTTTGAATTTTGGGATTTTAAGGGCACCCCTGAGTCCACCCAACTCTAGGGTACCTGACTTTAGTTGGGGAAAGTAAAGGCGGTTGGCCGTTGTGCTGGCCATATGACACCCTGCTTGTAAACCGTTGGTCATAAAAACAGATGACCCATAGATCGCAAGGTCTGAAAGGGAAACTTTTATTTTACTTTTATAATATTGTGTAATTGTGTAGGACCTCTTGGGCGATAATGATTTGATCATTTTAAAGTGGTACCTATGTCAATTGAAACGGTGTCAGAACGTGGTATGCCTATGTCTTATTCTCTATGTTGTTTATGGATAGATATAATTGGTATTCTATTATATCATTGTTATTTGTGGTTTCTATAAGTGCTATTTTTCACGGAAACCAAAAGAAAGGTATTAAAAGGCAATCAGACACATTTTACAATTGCCCCCCGCCCCCAGATGGCTGAACTTATTTGCTAAAAAAAAAGCAGTGAAAGGTTGGGTAAAAATAGCACATATATTAGTTCTATTGTTTCGTTGCTCTAGGCCCTAGGCACAAATCTAAAATTTACTTAACTGCTGTTTAGTATTTGAGCTTTATATCTTTCTTGTGAATTTGTGTTACGTTTAACATTGTTAATTCAATAAAAAACTGTGTTAGATTAAAATTGGAATAAATATAAAGAATATTTATTCATTACCTAAATGTGTGACAAAAACCAGCAGTAATCTGACTAATGTAATAATGACATAAATTACATGAATGTGAAGTATTTAATACCACCAAAATCTAACACACACAACAACAACAACCAAACTATTGCATTTTTAATTGTCTCTATCCTTTCAATTAAACATTAGCTTATAAGTTCTAAGAAGAATTCACTTCTACGTATAATCTATCCATGTATAAAATAATATAAAAAATGGTCTTTACAATTTTGACTTACATTTTGTTAAGTACCTAACAAATGACGTATACATTTGTAATAATTCTTTTCGATTATTTCTTTATGTTGTCATGGACTAGTAGAACAGGATGAGGAACTCGGTAAACATTTCGGTTAGAACGGTATGATGTCATCGCACCAAACATACATATATTCTGTGGTGAGTTCCTTGGGTAGTTAAGGAGGCACATGAGCAGTTAAGGAGGCCCTTGGGCAGTTAAGGAGGCACTTGGGCAGTTAAGGAGGCCCTTGGGCAGTTAGGGAGGCCCTTGGGCAGGTAAAGAGGCCCTTGGGCAGTTATGGAGGCCATTGAGAAGTTATGGAGGCCTTTGGGTAGTCTTCAGTGTTCCGTGTTTCCTTACATCGGTACACGTTAGGATTTTTTGAGGGGGGGGGGGAGTGGTTCATCAATGTTACTGTAACAGAAATAGCAAGAGGCCCCTACAGGCCCCTACTATTAAAAAAAATACATGAAAATATTTAGGGATTGTAGTCTACTTGACCAGGCTTCTACTTACGAATTTACTGTATCGTCATCCATCCCCCAATACTCAAAGAAAGTCCATTCTGACTTTGACAATGAAACCAGTGACACGAGCAGAGCCAAACACCTGGCACACGCCAACAGGTTGGCCAAGTGACTCATTTCATTCTAGTACATTGTCTTGATCTAGTAGGGGAAAAAACGTAGTATTACCTACATTGACAGCAACATATATAATTGCAATGGCTGACAGTACTTAAAATAATTTTTATAAACATTTTGCCTTAAAAACATTAACTCACCTTAAAGGAACACATATTTCAAACTATACCGGAGTGTGACATCGGGTACTACCGGTGGATATTTTTAGATATGTGTTGATACACTCTTACTCTTAAACCTGTATGAAAACCCCTGTGTACAAGGACAGATATTCTAAAGTAGACTAGTAACACATTAGAATATCTTAAAGACACGACCTATACAAATCCGCTGGTTGAACGCCGTTATTCATTCCCGAACTAGGATATATGATATGGGTTGTTAAGCTTGTTTTAGAGGCGTTCGTGTGTTTGTTTAGATCTGTTTTATATTTAGATTGAAAGTAGGGCAAAGTTCAATAGAGTTGTTTCCCTCTAAGAAGGAAGTGTGTGTATCTATTTATCAAGAATAAAGCTTTGATGGTTGATGAGATAAAAATCTGTTGCTATGTTGTGCTGAGATGTTTTATGAAATGTAAAATAGATTTCCGATCTATTGACAATCTTTTGAGAGCCGTTTAGTTTAAATGAATGATCCTGATGGATTGTTGGGGCACCACACAAGATCTGTTGACAGTCTTACTCCATTCCTGTCTTTTGTCTTTGATAGAAGCTCTTTCAGTGAGATGCCCGTGCATTCTTTTATTTTATCTTCCCATCAGTTTCTCTGTCTTCCTCTTCGTCTTCTTCCTGGTACTGTTCCCTGAAGGAAGGTCTTAGCGAGCCATGAGGACCTAGTGACATAGCCATAGAGTTTTAGTTTGCGTTTGTTTTACAGTAGTTAGCAAGTCATCGTTTGTGATGCGGTCTTTTTATTTGATACCTAGGATTCTGTAGCTTTAAAGATAAAACTACACTCATTGTTATGGTTTGTGTATGTTTGTGTGTTTCTATGGTGACGATGGGAAGAAGTTAGCGATTGGTTGGTTGTAAATGATGCAAGATAGGCGGCATTGTTGTCATTGGGTTTAGTAAGGAGAAACGAGCCCAGGACGTGAGACTGAACGGTTGGTGTTATTGTATTGAGTTAGATTTTTTTAAAAATATATATTACTACTTTAGTACATTTATTTTATCTCATATCTTATCTTCTTATCTTATCTTATATAATACAGACGTTACTTCAAAAAAAGAAGATGATTACGTCCTACGCGTCATGCATTCAGTCATGCATATTAACCAATGACTTAAATTCTGCCAAGTCACTGGTTTTCCTGGTTAGGGAAGAGTATTTGTACAAATTTGTCCTAGCATATGGGACGAGAAATGTGTCTTTATCTTTGTGTCTTTCTGAGTATTTTATTAAATTTTGTTTTTGTATTTGAAGATTATGGT